GACAACATATGGAGAGTTTTGTATCCCCCACCTCGTTAATTAGGAAGCAAACTCACCAGCTGAGAGAGGGGGGCGGAGGTGCTGAGGACGGGAGGGGGAAGTGGAGGGTGACTGCTCCTCTAGGAGCCCAGGAGCCACACTGCTGGGCCCTGACTCCACCCTCTCTGTTTCCGGGTGATGAAGCCAGGCCCAGGACTAGATGAGGGGTCTGACTTGTGGTGGGCAGCGGCCGAGCTGGTGTTTACATCAGCTGTGCTGTCAGCTTCTGTGCGCTGGGGTGCACCCTTCCCCCCGCATCACGGTCACTGTGGAAGGAGCAGCTGCTTCAGGGGTTCACACCAAGCACCGTTACCCCAGCCACCGCCCAGGAGGCAGAGCACAGGCCCTATCCTTCCCGGAGGAAATGGGGTCTCAGGCGAGCGGGGCAGTAACTGACTTGTCCAGGCGGAGCCCCAGCCCGGCTCCACGTGTGCAGGTTCTGCACTGGCAGCGAGCTTCTCTGCACAGTTTATCGTGTGCTCTGGAAATGTACATACTTGCACACATGTATTAAAACTGTAAGTGCTGGTGGACATGTATACTGTTCATGGGACGCAGGAAATCCCGCTTTCACTCCTCCTTCCTGGCTCCCAGGAGTGATTTCTGCCAACAGTCGGGTTTGCGTTCCCTCGGGGCAGGACAGCTATGTAATTAGAGGCGCAGTAAAGAGGAAAATGTGGGCTCCGTTCAAAGGCACTGGGCGTTTCAGGACAGCCCTGTCCTGATGTGTCAAGGTTGGGGGTTCGATCCCTGGCCAGGGCACATACAGGAATCCACCAAAGACGCGTGAGTGGGTGCAACAACAATCATTCTCTCTCTCTTCCTTCCTGTCTCAAAAACCAATCAATAATTAAAAAAAAAAAAAAAGTTAAAACAACTGTCCCATTAGGCAGTGCTGTTTTAACAGTCAGGACACCCGATTCTGTGCGTTGCTTTTCAATAAGCTTTTTACTTCGGCACAAAATTAGATTTACAGAAACGGGCAGCGTTCCTGTGGGCCCATCTGGTTCTCCCGTTGCCACCCGCTCCCATTATTATGATATCTGTCGCAGCGAGGGAACTGGTATTACTATTTTTAAAAAATACATATTTTATTGATGGAAAGGAGAGGGATAGAGAGCTAGAAACGTCAATGAGAGAGAAACATCGACCAGCTGCCTCCTGCACACTCCCTACCGGGGATGTGCCCGCAACCAATGTACATGCCCTTGACCGGAATCGAACCTGGGACCTTTCAGTCCGCAGGCTCTATCCACTGAGCCAAACCGGTTCCGGCATGGTATCACTATTAATAAAACTCTACAAGAAGCTCTTGCTTTTACATAGGATAATATTTAGGGAATCCTTGCTAATTGCGTACAGGCTAACACGTTTGTGTGTGGTGGGAAGTGCAATAGAACGTGTTGGAAGGCAGCTTGAGGCTGCGTGCTGGTCACTCAGCACGGAAGCGAAGGCAGGGACGTGCTAACTTGGTCTCTTCCTCTCCCGCTGGCTGGCCGGGCCAGGGGTCGCTCGGGGACAGGGACACAGGCCCTTCTGTGAGGCCCTCAGGGGACGCAATGCACAGCTGGGCGGGTGCGTGAAGGGGCCAAATGACATTGGCATATGGAAGCCAACTCCTCCCTTTACTGTTTATAAGGTCACAATAGAGACCCCTTGTCCCCGCCCAATCAAGTTCATGATAAGCTTAGTCTCTGAATAAAAAAACAGAAACCAACCAAATCTCCAGACAAAACCCCAGCCTAGCAGACGGCTCCGCAGCTGCTGCGGGGAAGGCCCAAGGCCATAGTGCTCCGCCCTGGGATGGCTGCTCTGCACCAGTGTCTCCTTCAAATCAACCTCCGGAAACCGCCGCCTTAGCTCCTCCTGCGCCTTAGCTCCTCCTGCGCCTTAACTCCTCCTGCGCCTTAGCTCCTCCTGCGACAGCTCCGCAGCAGCAGCCCCAGGGGACGTCATGGCAATGAGACCTGCAGGCTGGGCCTCAGCCTGGTGCTGTGCTCATGCGCAACTGAGATGACATTTTGGAATACCACTGGAATGATAAGAGTTAGACTCACCTAGAGGATGTGTATAAGGCGCCAGGCCCTGGTCCGGTGGCGCAGCTGGTTGGAGCGTCGTCCCGTGCACCAGAGGTTGTGGTTCAATTCCTAGGTTTTGGGTTTGATCCCCAGTTGGGGCTGTATGGGAGGCAACTGATAAGAGGTTTCTCATGCCAGTTTCTCTCTCTCCCTTTTCTCTAAAAATTAGTAAAAACAAAGCCATGGGTGAGAATTTAAAATTTTTTTAAAGGCACCAAGTGGCCCGGCAACATCAGGCTCTGGCCACGGTGCCTCGGGCTGAGGAACTTACGCATTAATTCCCACTCACGGTGCTGCACCAGCGTGAACTCAGTGACGGAGGCACCACCACAGGAAAAGCTGCTGCTCTTGGAGATCTCCACTCACCATCGTCCTGGTTCTCCAAAAATGGACCAACAACCAGGAAATGGTTCCCACCTTCAGCTTCGAGGGGCACACGGAGGGACCCCAATAAATCCTCCCCCCTGAGCCTTTGGCTGCTTCCCGCTCGGGGCCAGAGCCGCAGTGCTTCTGCCCCAGGGGACGTCACAAGGACCCCCGTGGCCAGTGACCTCAGGTGTGTGGCGCCCCCTGCAGGCAGCTTGGCCCTGCCCTATACCATCTAACTCAAGGTCAGGTTTAGAGCCATCTACCCACCAGCCCCCTGCCACTGGGTGCTGGGCCAGGAGTCACATTTACGGGTGCTCCTGCATCGTGGTTTGGCTTCTCGATCCCACCTGGGCCCAGTACTTAACCCACAGCCAGTAAGGCAGGCCCAGGATCACCCCCAAGAGGCTGCCCTCACCCACCAGGGGTTGCAGACTCGGTGACAACTGGCTCATCACCTCCAAGGGCCTCCCCGTGCCCACCCTGTGCCTGCTGCTTGGGCCAGCTGCCTTCAGCCCAGTCATGAGGCCTGGGGGTCCGCCCTGAGGGGTTGGTGGGGAGCCCAGCAGCTGACCCCCAGGCCATGCGAGTGGGCTCAGGAGAAAACAAGGCCTCTGACCACCCTGCAGGCCTGGGGCCAGGCCTTTCTGACAGCAGAGCACGTCCTGCCTCGCTCATGCTGTGACACCTGCCTTCTCTGTTGGCGCTGGTCTCCTGATTCAAATCCCTAAGCTTTTCCGGGGACACTGCCAATCACCCCAGGAGCTGGGGCCCCCGGAGCTCCGTGCTGAACAAACACACTTCACCCTGTGGGGTCCTCAGGGGCTGGGCTGCAGAATAAAGAAGTGCAGTTCAAAGGCTGGTGTCTTCTAGAGTTTTTTGCTTTTGTAAAGACAAGGCTGCAGTTTTTTGTTTGAACACAAACATTCGGTAAACCCCTCTGCCAGCCTCTCCCGGTCTCAGTGAGGAGCTGGGACCCTGGGCCTGGGAGGGGTCAGGCCTGGGGATGGGGGTGGGGTTCCGTGGGGGGTTCCTCAGAGCCAGAGAGGAAGTGCATTTGAGAATGGAGTTTGGCTTTATTCGGCAGAAAATAAAATTAAAAAGTTGACACATGCCCACTGTACAAATGGAGGCCGAGACACCCACTGGAACCATCTCGGCAGCCGGACTCGGGCCCTGGTGTGGCCCTCAGATCCTGACCCCCGTGTTCTGGGGAGGGGTCAGGGCAGGAGACCGTAGCTCTCAGGACGTGAGTGGGGGAGGAGGGAGAGGGAAGTCGGAGCAATCTCCTCCTCCATGTGGTAAAAAACAATTACTAAAAAAAGCACCCGAAGCTTAAAAAAACTACCCTCCCTGGCTGGGAGGGCGGGGGCATCCTGCTTCCCAGCAGAACGCCTCACCTGGCAGAATGAGTAGAAAAATAAAATTAAACTTTATCCCTGAATGGTGGAGCGAAGACCCCTCCTCCTGCCCGAGCCCCCACGTCTCAGAATCCATCCCGGCAGCCACCCCCTCCCCTGCAGCATGGATGCTGGCACGTCACACGCACATGCATGTGCAGTCACATGCACACACGCCGCCACCCTCTGTCCGAGGCCCAGGGCAGCAGGGACTGGGGTCTGACAGCCACAGCGTCTGGAGGGTCCCTGTGCCATCCCGAGCCGCCCCGCTTCAGGGGGGCAGGACCGGCACCCGGCGAGGGCGGCGAGCGTGCAGGAGCACGGAAGGGCGATGGCGAGGACGGAGGGAACAGGGAGGGGACAAAGCCCGCCAAGGTAGCTGAGGACTAGGGGCCACACCCGGCCCGTGGCGCCAGGGAACAAAAGGGAGGACGGGGGTCTCATCAGCGGAAAGGAGCCAGGGCCATGGCGGTGGGGTGGTCTCATCTGCCACCTGCAGGCTGCCCTGGGCAGTCCCACGGCACAGCCAGCGAAGGGTCAGCAAGGCCCTGCGTAGTGTTCTCAGGGCACAGGGTGACTGCCCGAGAGGCCACCAGAGGTGCTGCAACGGTGCACTGGGCAGAAGGGAGTTGTGAGCAGGATGCTTACACGCGTCCTGCAGGCCCAGCTGAGAGGAGAGCCGGAGGGCAGGCCTGGCCGGGTACGAGGAAGGGTGAGGTGGGCAGAGGATGCTCTTCCTCAGGGGCCGGTGGAGGACAGGGGACACGGGGAGCCTGAGGCCGGGGGGACGGGCACAAGGGACTGAGATGTGGCTGTGGCCCGTGTGCAGAGTCCGGGCAGGGCTCGGCTGCAGGCGCAGTGGTGGAGGCCCCACGGGCAGGGCTGGACAGCGCAGCCCCCGGGGACCCCTGGCTCTGTGGCAGCACCAAACACAACTGATGTCAGCAAGATGGAGGGCGGAGTGCGGCGCACAGGCCTCAGCCCGCGGTCCATGCCCCTCAGTGAGAAGGCGTCCGAGGACTCGGTCCGGCGGCCACCCTGAGGGTGGCGGCGGCGGCAGTGGCAGCAGCAGCACCTGGAGTCTGGGCGCTCCGGTGCCGGGAGCTGAGGCCCTCGGTCAGCGCAGGCTCTGGTACAGGTAAGCCGAGGTGAAGAGGGCGTTGGCAGTCAGGCTCACGGCCAGGAGCCCCTGGACCAGGGAGGGGACGAACCGACCTTGGAGAGAGCAGAGACCCAGTCAGAGGCATGGGTGGGGTCTGTGCCCCTGGCTCACCACAGGCCACTCCCTCTGCCCCCAGAGGCTGCCCCTGGAGGACACTCAGCCTGGGTCACGGTCACGTCCCGCCCTCAGGCGCCTCCGTTCCTGAGCCCGGCCTCCAGGAGGCACTGGCTGGCCCTGTGCTTGCCCTGGGCGATGGGCAGTGACCTGGCTTCACAGACAGGAAACGGGCTCTAGGGGACTAGCACCCCTAGGCCTCCGCGGCCAGCAGGCGGCCCCTCTGCCCTGGCATGAGCTCGATGCTGCCGCGCTCCGCCCCAGACCCCCCGATGTGGGGGCAGCACCCAATCTTTGCAGGAAACATGCGTGTCCATCTTCCATACACGTGCCCCTGCTCCCCGGGCAGTGCCAGGTGCTGACGGGATTTATCTCACAGCTGCCTTGGGCCCACAGGCGGAGGAGGCAGGATTTGAACTCAGGCAACTGATGGCCAGCCCAGGCCAGCATGGACCACACGGGCAATGGAGCACGTGAATGTGGCTGGTGCAGCTGAGGACTCAGCATTTTGTTACCAAATTTTAATTTTGTTAAGATTTAAATAGCCGCCTGTGACCACGTGACCTGAGGCTATGGTAACAGGGACGGAGCGGTGGGCACAGGCTGTATCCCCAGGCGCTGGGCGGTTCTCTAGGGGCCCCTCGAGGGTCTTTCTCCGTCAGGGTCCCAGACGGAGCGGGTGATCCTGGCTGCACACCCGAGGCCCCGTGCCGCCTGCCCTCCCCCCGAAACACGCAGCGCAGACCTCTCCAGGTGGCCTCCTCGGGGCACCCTTGGGTGGTGGTGTCCACCGCGCATGTGGAGGACTGCGAGGAGTCGTCCTCCTTCTTGATGGAGCGGCTGCTGCAGACGCTGCCTCTCTCCCGCATGGACCTCATGTCTGCAGAGAAGGGTGTCTTAATGGGTGCTCACAGGCCACCCAGGGCAGGACAGTCAGACAATACTTGAGCAAAAACAAAAAGCCTGTCAGCAGGCGCAGCTTGGCAGGGCTTATTACGTTTCTGATCCAGCCTAAGGAACAGACCAGCCTCAAGGTCAATTGCAAAACAATAAAAGAATATCAGCTAACAGAGCAATGTCCTGGAGGGTTTAAGGTCATGAGAAGCCAGCCAGGGGCCATGGAACTGGGGAGAGTGGCCGCCCACGTCCCAAGATCAAGGACAGGCCCTGTGCAGCTTCCTAACGGAGGTCCCCACACTGTGCTGATCCCAGGGGCGCCCCCACAGCCCAGCGGGCTCTCCTGCCCCCAGGGCCGGGTCCGAGGCGCATACCCGCGCTGTGCTTTGTGTCCTGCGCTGGCTGCCTCTGTGGCTGGGGGGTCTCGATGCTGAAGAGGCTGCCGTTGAGGGGCAAGTGTTCGTCTGAGCTGCTGGGGGTGCTGGGGGCCTCCCCGGGCGGCGACGGGAACAGCAGCAGCTTCTGCCCCTTCAGGTTGAGCCGGGCCGGGCTGATGAGGGGCCTGCGGTGGCGCAGCGAGCCGGTGCTGGAGGCCACCGAGCCGGCCACGGAGGGCGCCGGGGACGGGAACGGGGATGAGGGGCAGCTCCCCAGCAGCAGAGAGTAGTAATCTGGAGGGCGGAGGATGACAAAAACCGTGCCTGTAGCGCAGGCGCCTGCGATTGTCAGTCAGTCTGCACTTGGGGTTGTTACGGTCAGCCCGAGGCCTCTTCCGTTCCTGTTACCCCGGAGAAAGGCAAGGCTGGGCGGGGGGGGGGGGGGGAGGGGGGGGGGAAGCCCGCGCCCCCAGGCCCCGTGGGAGGGACGAGGACCTTGGCCCCTCAGCAATGTCCCCTCTGCCTCGCAATTTCTATCCAGCGGCCCTGGTACTGCCCTCAGCTGAGAGCAATGCCAGGACAGCAACCAATTCTTGAGACTTAAGCTCAGCTCCCTGCCCTGCTGAAGGCGGGACCCCGAGTGACCCGCGGCCACTGATGGGGAGTGCATTCCCTCTCACCCTAAACGGGGTGAGAGTTACTGGCCCAGGCCTGCACACACGGAGGCGCAGGGATGGGATGTGAACACAGACCCTGCCTGACCCTCAAGTTCATGTTTAACACACAGCCCTCTGGAAACCCCACCGAGAATGCTCCCCGTCACCCCTTACCTGGAACAGGCGCCTCCCCCGTCGGAGACAGCTGCGACGGCGGGCGGCTCCCGCTGAACAGGTACCCCGAGTCTGCAGGGGAGACAGTGACACAGGTCAGGTGCCCGCCCTCCGCCCCCATGGCCGGCTCTGCCGATCCAGCCTGTCACTCACAGCCCTGACTTCACCCCGGGGGCCATTAACCCAAGTCACTTCCTTTTTGAAGGATAAACCAAGTGGCAGAGTGCCACCCCCAGCCGCCTGCAACTCTCCCCCAGAGGGTTCTGGGAAGGCTCTGGGGTCTGCACCGCTGCGGGCCCAAACCCACCGCTTCCCACCCCGCAGGCCTGGCACCCGGCTCCTGGCGGCAGCTCCAGACAGTAGTTCCCTCAGTTTTCTTGAGGGAAACTGAGGCTCAGAGCCAGTAAGTCCTTTGGTGAAGGGCAGCTGCTTAGTGGATGCAGCAGGATTGGAACCCAGTTCCTCCCGCCTGTACACAGCCGGAGTCCCGGTGCCCACGTGGCCCGCCGAGGCCCGCGTGCCTCTTACCTGCTCGGGTCAGAGAGGGCATGGTGCCCAGCGAGAGGGCCCGGCTGAGGCGGCCCGGCAGCGAGGAGGGCGAGGCCCGCCGGGGAGAGCGGAACAGCTGCTGGCTGCTGAGGGGCAGGAAGCCGGGCGAGGCGGGGAGGAAGAGAGACGGCGAAGAGGCTGCGACGCCCGGGTAGGGGACGGCCAGGCTGGGGCACGCGGGGAAGAGGCCGGCCGAGTCTCCGGGGAGGTACCTGCAAGAGGCCGCGGCAGGGAAGGAGGTCAGCCTGGGGGCTCTGAAGGCGGTCCGCCAGCTGCCCCTCACCTGGCACAGGGGGGGCCTGAGTCGGGTCCCCGAGGAGGCGTGCGTTAGTGGAAGCGGGAAGCAGTCCGACCACATTCACGCCGTTAGGACCGGTGGCTGGGAGTGCAGCGTGACCCACCGCCCCGCATGCCCCTCCGATCCGTCACAGCAAACTAGTCCCCCTATGGGTCTCCGTGTTAAAGTGACACTGTCGCCCTTGCCAACCTCACGTCAACCCTTCGCCTTGAAGCGGAAATGCCCAGCCCCTTGCCAGGCTCCCAGGAGTGGCCAGTGGCCTGGGGTTCCTCCTGTCCTTCCTGCTCATGTCCAGAGCCCCCATTGCAGCAGCCGAGCTCGGGGCCCTGCTCCCCGGAGTCCGGCTGCTGCCCTCTGGCCTCAGACAATGGACATTCATCTCAGTGTCTTGTAGAGCCGAGGGGGGTGGCCAGGCTTAGGACCCCCAGGAAGAGACACGCAGGACACAAGCCAAACTTGAACTTGGAGAACACCCCTAAGTGACCACAAGGCCTCACAAAAGATGGATGGTGACAGTGTCCCTTTAACTCGAGAATGGTACAAATCACACAACGGGACCCGGAGGCCCCAAGCCAGAATGTCAACCATGCTTCTGATTAAGGCAACCGATTACAGAGGCGGGGACAGAGACAGTTAATACATTAGTCTGCCCGCTGTCTGGACAGAGTTGCGTGAGGTCCGGCCTTACCTCGGTCCCCAGGGACAAAGGAGCCGCGGACAACGTGCCGATGACGGGCAGGCTGGCCAGGCCCTGCAGCGGAGCCCGGGGGGTAACGGACCCCCCAGGCCCATTGCACCCGAGGAGTTCCTGCTAGTTCTCCCCCTCCCCCTCAACAAGCTCTGAGGAAAGTGCAGGGTCAGCAGGGCCCTCCTGGAGATCACGTGGCCTTGCTAATGCTGTCCGGAGTGCCAGCAGGCTTCCTGGGCTTCAGAACCCAAGGCGGGAGCGCGGGGAAATCAAGGCAGGAGCTCAGGCCAAGCTGCTCGCCCAGCCTCCACCCGCTGACGTGTCCTGAAGCCAAGACACCGGGGGAAGCCCCTCCCCCAACAGAAGATATGATTTTACGGTTTTGTGGCAGGAGGGGGAGTGTCAGGCGAGTAGAGGCACAAAGGAGGCCGGGACCTTTGGCAACCTGCCCTGATGGTGCGCAAAGCTGTCCCTGCGGGGCCCGTGCCAGGAGGACCCAGGTGTGTCCGGAGCCGCTGAGCAGGGCGCACCCAGGCCCGCTCGCAGATGCAGCAGGCGGCCCGGAGGCTTCCCGCACCCCGTGCCCCCCACAGCGAGGAGGGGCCGAGCCGGCCTACAGGTTTCGCAGGTGGCCAGCTGGCCCAGACAAGCTGGGTCTTGCCAGCACTTTCCATGACCCCGCCCCGTGCCAAAAACCCGTCTGCGTGATCTGGCACAGGGGCTGGCCTGTCGCCGATGCCAGTATAAATGTCGGCATTGAGGGGGCAGTTCTTCTCTGACCCTTTAACTAGCGGATCCTTGTAAGGTGCCGGGAGAGCTCTGGTCCCGGTGCAGACCGGTCCCGGGAGCCTCCTGTTAAAGGGCCGTCTCCGCTGGCTCCTGAACTTCCACTGGCCCGGCGCCCAGACCGCCGGGCTCCGGAACCGGCTCCACGGGCACCAGCACGGAATCTGAGTCTATGTCCCCAGGTAAGGGGTCCGAGGAGGGCCGGGGGCCTGTTCGGTGTCCCATCTGACAGAGAGTGACCCAGCCCCAGCCCCAGCCCAGAGCAGGAGCACGCTATGTAAGTGGCCGTCCGCTGAGACAGGGACCATCCCACCCGGCAGGGACACAGTCAGCTGGGCCCTGTCCTTCCATTTCCACGTCGCCAGCTCCCAAGCCTGACTCCTTGGCACGCGGGTACCCCAAGGCCCGCCCCCGGCACAGTCGCCTCGGAAAGAACGTGAAAGAAAAAACAAAAAAGACGCGATACCTGACGCCCAGGGTCAGAGCAGGGCCCCGGAGGCATTTATTGAAAATACAGCATCGAACATATATCTGGCCGGGGCTGCGGTTACAGGGATCGAGGGCCACTAGACATCATCTGCAGCTCTGCACTACAGGGACGGACAGGCACGGACAGGACACGCTGACACGCCCTCAGGCCGGAGCTGCGAGGCGGGGCGCTCCGGGAGGAGCCTGCGGGCCCGGGGTGGGGACCCAGGCCCAGACCCAGAGGGAGAAGACAGCGTGTGCACCTCCCTCAGGTCTTGGGGGCAGAGGTCCCGGCAGGGGTGACACTCCCAGCTATAAGCCAGGGTCCCAGGGTGCCTGCGCTGCCTCGCTGTGCCGATAAGGTCAGGAGGTGCTGGAACAGGCTCCGAGTAATGCCGCTTACGGGACGGTGGGCGATTAAAAGTCACAGACTAAAAAGGCCAGGAAGCCCCCTCAGCTGAGGCTCATTTCATGAATGTCTTCCCATCCCCACTGGGGCAGGCAGATTCTGCTCAGCGGGGGTGATTGTAAATAACTAGCTGGCCGTGATTATAAATAACTTAACTTAAATACACACACACACACACACACACACACACACACACACGTCCTGCTTCTCCTCAGCACCAAGAGAAGCAGGCATTAGCTTCCTTGAAAGCAGGAGGCTCCAGAGACAAGGGCGCGCACAGCCCAGCACGCCCCGGCCCTCCACGGGCAATGCTGCCGCCCCTGCCCCACCGGCTGGCCGGGAAGGGGCAGGCCGCTTCCCCAGCAGGACTAGGTCCTGGCTCTGCATCCCCACTCCTCCTCCATGCCCTCCACACACAACCAGCGGACAGGCCTGAGGTCACACGGCTGCTGGGGGCAGCTCCTGATCCCGGCGCTCTGCACGCACGGGTGCGGGGGCAGGGCAGCCTCTCGGCCCGTGAACACGAGGATTAGTGACGGCGGGCACAGGCGCAGCTCCTGACTCCCTGGGACCTGGCCAGGCCTATGCCTCCTCCCCGCCTCTCGGCTGGTCGGTGGCCCCTTGCTGAGTGCCCTCATGCCCGTGTCATCTGTTCTTGCCTGTCCTGGGCTCCAAGGAGCCAAGTGGCAGGACAGGGCCCTGGAGGGAGAGTGTAGAGCACTCTGAGGTTCGGCTTGGCCGAGGCCTCTGGGGACACCCTATGGGAAGGTAGAAATCAGGAGCCTCAGCACCCTCTGTGAGGGCGCTAGGGGCCGGAGCAGTGACTGTCCAGAAACCTGCTGGCCACAGCAGGAGGGTTTCCTACCGTTCACCTTGCCCTACAAACTCATGATCAAGGCCAGTCTGGGCCCAAGAACTGCACCCTCTGTTCCCCGGGAGGAGGCTGAGGGTGCGAGGGATTCAGGAATGTGTGGGAATGGGGCAGTGGGCCCAGGGGCAGCCCAGACTTCTGGTCTCACCGGTTTCCAGCAGGGCTGGCCGGGCACTGGGCAGGACCAAAGGGACAGACCAGAGAAGGGACGTGGGGTCAAGGTGCGGCTCTCTGGGCCCTGCTCAGCAGCACCTGCCCGTGTCAAGTTGCCCAGGGGTCAGGCCATGTGGCAAGGGCTCGGCCTGCAGCCACTGTCACCAGCCGTGCCAGGAGCTCAGGGCTGGTGTAGGGAGAAGCAGACAGCAGCCTCATCCCACGGTGCCAGAGGCAGGCAGGGCCGTGGCGGGAGGGGATGCCTGGAGCTGCCCGGAGGAAGCCATGGGGCACCGGCAGCCTGTGAGGGTATCGCCCGTGTGCTGGCCTTGGGGCAATGAGAGGGCCTTTGGCCCGAGAGAGGGCACTAAGGTGGGGGATGACTTACTGGTGTGAAAAGGAAAAGGGGGGGGCGGGGGGAGGCCCGACTCCTCAGGGAAGGGCAGGGGCTGGGCCAGGACTGGGCTCTAGGCTGGGCAGGGATGAGAGTGAGGCAGGAAGAAAGAGCCAAGACAGAGAAGTGCCCTGCTCTGGGCTGGGTGCAAAGCTCTGGGGCTGTCCGTCCGTCTGTCCTCCCCCCGCAATCACTGCTGCTTCTCTGACCTTCGGGGCCGGAACCTCCGTGGGCCCGTCGCCTTCCTTGTGGCCACGGCCGCCATCAGGCCCACCAGGCAGCACAGGGACATGGTGCCGAACTTGAGCGTGTCCAGCCAGCTGGGCGAGGGGGCCTGCAGGTACTGCTCGGCCAGGTGCAGGCCCAGCAGCAGCGCCCACAGGCCGGTGCAGAAGGCATCAATCCTCCGGAGCCTGGGGAGAGCGGGGCTGCGTGAGGGCCCATCGCAGAAAGACAAGCCCCTCATCCTCCCGCTCGCTGCCCTCCACCCACCCGACCTGCTCAGACAGGATCCAGAGCCAAGAGTGCAAGTGCCTCTCGACCCGCCCCCAACACCGAGCAGGTCTGTTCCCGAGCTGAGTGTTCCAGCCAGTAAAACAGGGCTCAGAAACCTCCCCCAGCTCGGCCTGTGCTGCTTAGTGGTTGGGCATAGACCTATGAACCAGGAGGTCACGGTTTGATTCCCAGTCTGGGCACAGGCCTGGGTTGCAGGCTCAATCTCCAGTAGGAGGGTGCAGGAGACAGCCCATCAATGATTCTCTATCATTGATGTTTCTCTCTCCCTCCCTCTCTGAAATCAATAAATATATTTTAAAAAGAAAAAAAAACAAAACAGGAACCTCCCTCAGGGTCACTGCGATGACGTGAACACCAATCGGAACAGGGAGGGAAATCAGGGCCCAAGGGCACCCACACCGGGTGGGTGGTTATTAGGGGTCTGAGGAGGAGAGAAGTGGGGTGGTTTGGCCCAGGTGGCCCCAACCAGCAGCGGTCCGGGGGGCCTGCTCTGAGTGCCGCTGCCCCTAAGGAAAGCCATTTACTCTGTCTCGCCCCCGGACTCCCAGCTGCTGGGACAGCTGTTTCTACTACACAGCAGAGCCCCCTGCTCCAGCCCGCACGCACCTGACGCGGCCGGCCAGCAGCAGGGCCAGAAGGCAGGTGAGCAGGCCCAACACCACGACGCCCGTCTGGTGGCCCCGCCCGTAGGCCCAGGCCCCCTGCAGCTGCTCGGTCACGTGCTCCGGCAGCAGGCCCAGCAGCTGCCGCCAGCCCTCAGCCTCCGGGGCGGTGCCGTTGTCAGGGGCAGCCGAGCCATTGCCCCCAGGGGGCAAAGCTGGGGGCAGGGTGGCCCCCGGGGCAAAGGGGTCGCTGGTGCCATCCAGCGTGGTGGCCAGCAGGAAGGCACAGGCCAGGAAGGCGAGGGCGCGAAGCACGATGACCTGGACTGGGGCCTTCACCGCGGACGAGCAGAAGCTCTGAGGGAGGGAGAGAGGGAGAGACTGGTCAGCCAGCTGGCAAGAGACGCCCACAGCCACTGCCCGTGCGCTCGTGCCCGGGGTCTGGCCAGGGCCAGGGCACTGGCTGAAGAACCCACCCGGGACCTGCCGATCCGAGACCCCGTCTTGATCAGGCCAGGAACCCTCCGACCTCTTGGCTGTCTCCAGGCTTACAGCTGAGACCCCCTGACCCGGCCCATGGCTGCCTCTTCTTTAGAGAGAGCTTTTGATGTTACAGTGACCTTATTCTTTCATATAAATTTTTCATTCTTTTTGCCAAATTCTCACCATAAACTCCTAGGGGAATTATAACAAACATATAAATAACTCTGACCAAAGTTAAGCTTAAAAATACGGCAGTAAGTTGTTCAGCGTAGAAACATGTAGTGAGGAGAAAAGGCACAGGTCTGAGCGCCCTGCTGTGCAAACACGGGCTGTGGGCTGTGCGTGGCCGTGTGGGCAGGAGCCAGCTGTGCACTGGAAACCACCTGTCACTGGGCACAGGCACATCTGGGGATCGAGGGGGTGAGCTACATCTAAACCCACTCACCACTCTATCAGATTTAAGACCCAGAACAATCCACTAACTGAATACGGTGATAAAAATTAGTGAGTTTTAACTCGGCCAGGGTGGCTTAGTGGGTGAGTGTTGATCTATGAACCAGGAAATTATGGTTCGATTCCTGGTGGGGCACATGGCTGGGTTGTGGGCTCGATCCTGTGTGCAGAGGCAAGAGGCAGCTGATCTATGATTCTCTCATCATTGATGCTTCTATCTCTTGCTCCTTCTCCTTCCCTCTCTGAAATCAGTAAATACATAATTTTAAAGTTAGTGACTTTTAGCCATCTGGTTCTGGGTTCAAATCCTGGTGCCTTGGCACACAGGGTGTGGGGCCCCCACACGTCACTTCACCGCCCCGTTCGGCTTCCTGGCTGAGTGGGCGGCGCAGAGCCTCAGAGCATGGCCACCGCATGGTGCTCTGGGAAATGCCAGAGTGGGGAATGGATGCAGGGGTGGGGAAGTGCCCGGACACATTGAGGCTCCAGACTGTCAGGTGTGCAAGTGATGGGCGGACCCCAATACTGAGCCACTCTTCTGGGGACACCCCTCCAGCTGCTGACACAGGGGCTTGGGGACAGGCCCCACAGGAAGGGTTTCCAGGGAGAGCTGCCCACCAGTCTGTGGGCCCAGCCTCTGGGAGGGGCTTCTCTGCACCAGCCCGAGGGCTGGGACGCCCCAACCGCCCGGGGGCGCGCTGCTCAGACCTGCGTGTGGCTCTGGTCGGCCTCCCGGCGCCGGAACTGGTGGCTGACGAGCAGGGCGCGCAGCTGGCGGTTCTGGTGCTTGAGGTAGTGCTCCACGGCCGCCTGGCACGGCCGGCACAGCTTGTAGATCTGCTCCAGGTGGTGCCGGTACACCTCGATCTCCTCGTCATACCTGCCCTGCGGGCGGGGCAGGGCTCAGGTTCACTCACAAGCGGGGTGGCCACGGGCAAGCTGTCCCCACCCCGACCCTGCTTCCTCACCGCCAGCAGGCAAACAGCACCCTGAGCGCGTGCCGACGGCCACCGGGAGCAAGGACTACCGGAGCCCAGGACGCAGCGGGACCACAGGGCGGGGAGGCGCTCTGGCCAAGTTCTACTCCAGAGGGGGCCCCGGGAGCAGATGGCTCTGGGCTGGCGCTACCTGGGCTGGAGCAGACAGACGCTCAGGCAGGGCCTCCCCGCTGGTGAGCTCTGGGTCCAGAAAGCACAAGAGGCCCTGGCTGGGCTGAGCGGGGGCTGCAGGTCCTTGGGGCTCCAGGAACAGCTGCAGACAGTCCCACCCTCCCTCCTCCTCAGGATGCAGTAATGCTCCTCTCCCCGTTTCCAGGGCCCCCAAACATCTGCCTGCAGGGCCAGCGGGTTATCAGTTTGATCTTATCTTGCTGGGACCAAAGCTGCCTGGTGGCCAAGTCTCTCACACACACACACACACACACACACACACACACACACACACACACGCCTCCATTCCCTCCCCCCCCCCCCACCCAGCTGGGCCGTGGGAAAGCCGGCTTCTCAGGGCCTCAGCTCCTGAGGTCACTGCCGCCGGCCTGCGGGCGGGAAGGCAGGAGCAGCTACAGCAGTGGTCGGCAAACTCCTTAGTCAACAGAGCCAAATATCAACAGCACAGCAATTGACATTTCTTTGGAGAGCCACATTTTTTAAACTTAAACTTCTTCTAACGCAACTTCTTCAAAATAGACTCGCCCAGGCCGTGGTGTTTTGTGGAAGAGCCACACTCAAGGGGCCAATGAGATGCATGTGGCTCTCGAGCCACAGTTTGCCGACCACGGAGCTAGAAGACAAGGCTGCTGGGCTCCATGGCAGGCCCGTGTGGTGTGGTGTGTGTGTGTGTGTGTGTGTGAACTCCTAGCATCCAGCCTCCCTCTCCTCCACCAACTCCACAGCAGTGGCCAGCGGGGGGCAGCCTGACTCAGAGGGACAGGGCCCCGCGGGAGCCACCTGCCAGGGACAAACCCCTCAGGACTGGCAGGCACTAGGCTTCCATGATGTCCCCAGGCTTGGAGCCAAGAGAGCAGGAACCATGCGATGTTGGAGAACGGAGGCATGCTCCGCCGAGATGAGAACCACACCTGGGGCGGTGGAGGGGGCCAGCACAGGCCGGGGTAGGGGAGGCTCCGTCTGAAGAGCCCTGGGCACCCCCCCAGACATCCCCCCGCCCCCCAGTCCCGGCCTCACCTCATCCCGAGGCGAGAAGGCGGCCAGCTGCTTGATCTTGGCGGTCTGGTGGTGGCTGCACCTCCTGCACAGCAGCACCTGGCTGCTCACCCACTGCTGGGGCTGCGCGGGCGCGCGGGGGCTGGGCGCGCTGCTCACCACGTGGTTCAGGTGCTCCAGGTACTGCGCGGGGATCGGCTTGTTGTAGTCGCCGTTCTGGGGGGGAGGGCAGAGTCAGCGGGAGCCCGACACAGCGGCTGGGCTCTGCGTGAGGCCAGAGGCCGGTGGTGTCCCCGTGGGAGCAGCTCCCAGTGCTCCCATTCCCTTTCCACGCAGCAGCCAGCTGCCTGTCCTCCACAGAACTCACAAGGAAGGAACCCCCACAGGCAAGAGTGCAGCCCCCGGGGGGCGCTGTCTGTGAGCCAGGCTTCCTACTGTGATGGGGGCTTGGCGGAGCCGAGTCCTGGGGACAGGACAGTGTGGCTGCAAAGCCTAGGGCCTTCCTGGTTCTCAGCAGAGAGCCCACGGACCCCTGGCCAAGTGCCAAGCAGAGAGCCGGCGAGAGCCAGAAAGATCCAGGGCTGAACCCCAACCTGCCCACTCGGTTGGTGTGCCTCCGGCTGCGGGGAGGGGTGGGGTGCTGGACAGGGGCTGGGCGCCGCACCTCCTGGAAGCCGTTGTACTGCTCGCAGTGGGGGCAGTCCCAGCAGTTGCGGTTCCCGTAGGGCACCACCGTGTCCTGCGCGCAGAACCAGCAGTTGACGGTGGTGTGTGTCGGCTTCGTCCTGTGCACAGGGGAGAGTCGAGTCAGCGGAGGCCTCTGTGCCTGTGCACAACGGAGACCAGCCCCGGGAGCCAGCCCCGGAGAACCAGCGAGGAGGCCACACGGGCCTGGCTCCTCCTCGGCCTCCAGCACGCCCACGAGGGGAGCCAGGGCCGCCCGCCGCTGGCTCCTGGGGCTCATGCTGGCCAGGCCACAGGCCAGCCCTAATCCCTCGCTGGGAGGCCTGTTCCCAGGCCCGGAAATGATGCTCCCAGAGCCTCCAGGAAGGCCCAGGGGCGAGGCTGAGAGACAGCTGTGGGCTGGGGAGAAAACGCCAGACAGCACACGTGTAGTGACAGATGCTGCTGCGGGGTAATCCCAGCCCAGATACCAGGATCGGTGTGCGGGGCCCCTCCAGCCACCGCGTTGGCCATGGTGCGATAGGGGTGTGTGCGCGCAGCAACTGCCCAGCAAACCCTGGTCCTAGGAATCTAGACACAAGCAGGTGACGGGGGGCAGCTGCTTGAGCCCCGGGGTACTGGCCAGGCCACCTCCTGCTCTGGGGGTGCCATTCGGACCCTGCTGTAGTGGCAGCCTCACCACACAGATGCCTCTACTGCCCACAGGGGGGCACAGCCCCCAGCCCAGGAGCCAGAGGTGCCAGCTCTGCCCACGGCTGGCTGTGAGCCTGGAAGCTCCTCTCCCCTTCTTCCTGCCTCCCTAGGCCACGACTGCAAAGTGTGAGGTCGCAGCACCTCGGGGACCGTGCATTACAAGACCGACCACACAGCCACACAAAGGTGCTTGCCACGTTGAGGGGCCAGTTCTGTCACCATCCCGAGACCGAAGATCCCACTCCTGCCCCTGCCGCTGCCTCCTGCCCCCCTGCCCCCGACCACCAGGTCACAGGGCTCTCCAAGCCTCAGTCTCACGCCTGCTAACCGGGAGTGCTTACCAGTGCCTGGCCCAACGCCCCCTAAAGGGTAGTCACATGGGGTGGGCGGAGAGAGGGGGCGGCTCAGGGAATGCCCCCCAAGAAACCCCTCAACCCACTTCTCCCCCGAGCCAGAGACGCACAGAGATGGAACCAGGGATTGCCCCGCACTCCGCCCCGCTCTGAAAACCCTCACAGTGGGCAGGGACTGCTGTGTCAGACTTGCGGACAGCAGGGGGCAGGGCCCGGAGAGCAGCTCTGCGGCCACAGGCCTGGCCTTCGGGGAGTCATTCTGTCCCCAGACCCCGCCACCTGCCTGCTCATCTGGGCAGTGGGAAGGTGATCCCCCCGGAGGCCGAAGGGAGCAGAGGGTCAGGCGGCCATGGAGGAGGTCAGCCCGGCAGGTGTGGCGCCTGCTCTCTCAGCGCCAGCACCGGCACCGGCATGAAGCCCTGGGCTCTCTGTTAACCAGCACCTGCTCCCCAGGCTCCCCAGGAACTGCGACGTGTCCCAGTGCGGGCGATGCAGGCAGGTGACCTCTCACCTGCCCCTGGCTCTCCAGCCCTTCCCCCCACACCCCCATCACCACACCCAGCCCTTCCCCCCACTGCCTCTGGCCTGAAGCCAAGCGGAAGGGCTGGCAGCTCATGAATAAAGATGGGGAAGGGACAAAGCCCCAGCCCAGGGGCGGTGGGGGCGCAGGAACTGCAGCCTCCGTCCTGGGAGCCAGCTCAAAGCCCCTCCCACCCAGAAGCCACCATTTCCAGGAGGAATCTCCAGTTCCCCCAGCTCCGTTGCTAGGGAAATGGGCCTGGCCTGGAAGCCGGTGGCCGGAAGGGAGGAGGGTCAGCCTGTCCCTGGGGCCAGTGGCTCCAGCTCCGGTCACTCTCAGCCCTGGGTGATCCCTGCCCAGCGTGAGTAGGGGAAGGGCCCCGTGGCAGGTGGGGGTTCACAGGTCAAGAGGTCATCCCCCACAGTGCCTCTGGGCGGTCCCTGTAGGGTCCGCAGGAGCTAGCAAAGCAATGGGGGCTGGGCAGAGTCTCAGCCCCTCCACCCCCCAGCACTGGCCCCCCTGCGCCAGACACGTGGGCGAACGGGAACGTGTCCCCTGGCTGCCCCGCTCCCCCTGGCCCGCTGTAAGGCTTTTGGGCTCATCTATTCTGTGCCAGCTTAACCCTGTCCCCGTCCTGGTCAGGGAATGCCCCCTCCCCCTCTCCCGCCCTCATAAACCCCTCAACCCACTCCTCCCCAGGCCCAAACCTTTGCCCGGCAAGACCCTGGGACCACCCCTCCCAGTGCAGGCCTGGTGTGACCAGACCGAGCGCGGCAGCTCCCACTGCCCCGCCCCTGTGCGCAGCTCTCGGCTCCGTGGGGCCCCCCCGAAGCAGCGAGGGCAGGGGTCCCTCAGGACCGCCCCCCACAGGCCTGAACACACACCGGGGAGGGAGGATGGACACAGCATCACCCCAGCACCCCGACAGTTTAGCTAAAACAAAGCTCGCGACGTCCCACCACTCCCTGCAGGTGGGCCCTGCCAGGGGGTGGGCACCGCTGGGTACGAGACCAGCCTGCCTGGGGGGGCTGAGGGTGGGGAGGCCAATGTGCCAACTAGTGCCCCCCAGGCCCTGAGGAGTGCCCAGCCTCCCCCAGGAGGGGCTGGAGAGTGGTCTCCATGAGTCAAACTTTGTTCCCTTAGGGGGCCAGAGGCCACCTCTGGCAGGGCCCAGGAGGAGGGAGTCCTTGCTGAACCCCTCGGCTTCTTGCTGTTGCTGTGCTCTGAGCGAACACATGGAGAATCCGAGTTGTCTCCTGGGCCCCAGCGGCAGCAGCACCGTAATGTCAGCCAGGACCCAGGGCCTCCGGGCAGGTCGAGCCCAAGTCCACAGCAGCTCTGCCTGCCACACCGAGACAGAGCCCAGCCCACCTGCCCGGGACAGACCTCATGTTCATGGAGCCAGGCCCCTGAGAGGGAGCCAGGCCCCAGACAGGCAGACAGGGAGCCGCCCCCAGAGGGAAATGGCCCCCAGACAGAGAGCCAGGCCAGAGAGGCAGAAAGGAGCCAGCTCTCCACTTCCGACCTGGACAGGATGAGAACGGCGACCTCACGGAGCAGCTGGTGGCAGATGCCACAGGAGAGAAGCCAAAAAGTGGGGCATCTGCTGTTATCCTGAAGAACAGGTCTGCTGGCCGGCAGGGCAAAAGGAACAGATGGCATCCAAACACAGGCAGGGCTGCTGGGCAGGGGGACCACCCAGTGTGCGCCCCGGAGCCTGTCTGTCCGGCAGCACAGGGGGAGCATGGAGTGCTGAGCGGGCAGGACATGGTGCCAGGACAAGGCTCTGCTGCTCACCCTGGAGCTGCATGCCCTCGGCCTCCAACCTGACAACGTGGAGAACCCAGCAAACCCTGTGGGTGCCTGAGGTCCTGAGCACGGCGCCATGCTGAGCAGCGGGTCTGGGGGGACGGACCCGGGAGCAGGCAGCTCCAGGCTGACGCTGGCGGAGGGCGGGCCTGCGGTTGGTTTAACAGCTGGAGGCAGCCTCCTTCCTTAGCTGTGGGCGGGAGAAAAGGGGACCTGCCCCCCAGGTGTCCCGGGCAGCACTGGTGGGAGCACTGCTGCCCTCCTGGGAGGGGCCCACCTTCTGGCGGCTCCCTGGCCAGGGTGCCCTCCACCTCTGTGCTGGGCTCGCAACCCCCCACGAGACCAAATCCCTTTCCAAACACAACTCTCCTCAGGAGGGTCCCCCACACCCATGTTGTGGCCAAAGCCACAGCTTCTCCCGGGGGACAGGGCTCAGTCTCAAGGGCTGGTCTCGCCTCCATCATCACAGTGGCCAGTTTACGACCCCAGCAAAGCCAGAGCTCTGTGAGCGACTCAGAGCATCCTGGGAGAGCTGGTCCTTCTCGGCAAGCCAACAGGTCCCAAGGACACCCACAGCACCCTCCGCTGCTGGAGTCACAGGCAGCCAGGACCCTCCCAGATCCCCTTCCCAGCATGCCCTTCTCCGCACCAGGCCCGGCTCTGGCCTCGGGGACAGGGAAAGCGGCGGCTGGCAGCCTGAGAACAGCCGGAGCACAGGACACCGGAGCACGCGACACAGCCCAGGCGCAGCCACGCTACACACCAGTGAGGCCCGGTTCACCGGGAGGCAGCAGCATCCGGAGACAACCGGGCTCTGCAGCCCTGAGCAGAGCGTTCTGTCCCCCCCTTCCAATCAGCGGGTCCCGCAAGCCCTCCCAGCGACTAGAGATGGGGGTTCCCAGGGAGCCCTCAATGCCTCACTGCCCTCCCCAGGAGACAGCCCCCTCCTCAGCCTGCCAGCCTGTGTCCCTCCTACTCCTTCCTTCTCCACCAGCCTGCACACAGCTGATTCCTTCCTCCTCCAGAGCCTGTGACTCAGTCACCCTCACGGCTTCTCCCCCGGGGTGGGAAGAGGCACACGGTGGCGGTGAAGTGAGAACAGCCAGATGGACTGCCCAGGTTCAAACCCCAGCGCGGCCACGTGTGGGCAGGAGCCTTCGCTTCTTCCACTCAAAACCTGAACGTGTGTGTGCGTGTCCCCATGAAGCTACAAGCCCACCCGCCGTCGCCCCAGAATGTGCTCACGGCCCTGCCGTTTCTCCCTGTCCCGGGAAGGGGGTCAGATGGAGACGCAGCCCGGGGGTGGGCCGCAGTCCCCGCTGAAGCGCTCAGCCCTGAGCCCGGTCCCTGAGCCAGGCTGGCTCTGGGCGGGGGTTGGCACGGCCTGGACCAGCCCAGCAGCAGCCCTCGCCGGGGCTGGGGGATGCTGGCCTCAGGGTGAGCCCACCCCTGGCCCTTCTGGTCCTGGGGGAGCAGGGCTGTGGCTGCCATGGGCTGAGTTAGACCCCAGCCATGGAGCAGGCCACGGAGTGCCACCCACCGCCAGCCCCCCGGCCTGCCCTCAGGGTGGGGGCGGGAGCAGCCAGGGTGCAGTCTGACCCCGCCGAGCCCTCCCGCGGGGTTGGGGGGCCCGGGGGGCGGGGTTGGGGTGTGCGGGCCCTGCGGCTCCCGGCATCCGTCTCCTCGGAGGAGGAAGTTTGGGACCCACGTGCGGCCGCTCCTGCCCACCCCGCATTCCTCGTCCCCAGCCGCTTCCGGTCTTATTTTTTGGGCGGGAGGGGGGCGTGCGGGGCGGGTCTCAGCACGTGGGCACGCAGGCCTGGTCCCCCCGCAAAGCCGCGGCCCCGCCGGGCACGGGCTGGGCGGCGCCGGGCGGGAAGGCCGCGTGCGGCGGCGGCGGGGCGGGCCGGGCCGCACTCACCTCCGCGCGATCCGGTAGAGCAGCACGCCGGCCGCGGCGCAGGCGGTGACCCCCAGGCCGCCGGCCAGGCCCGCCGTGGGGCAGCGGGCCAGCAGCGCGCTCACCCCCTCCATGGCTCCCGCGGCGGCGGCGGAGCGGCGACGCCGAGGCCGCGCGCGGATTACCGGCGGCGGCGCGCACCTCCTCGCGCCGTGACCTCCGTCGCTTTGTAGCGGGCGCGGGCCCGCCCCCTGACTCGGCGCGCTCCCGCCGCGCAGCCAATCGGGAAGGGGGACGAGCCCGGTGGGCGGGGCGCCGGGGGAAGCGGCGGCGGCCCGACGGCGCCCTCTGGCGGCCGGAGGTGGGAGGTGGCGCGGAGCCCGGGCCGGAGCACTCCGCTCCCGCGCTCGGCAGGCCCCTCCTCCCGCATTCCGCCTACTGACCCCTTGGAAGCAGTCTTGGCTCCGGCGGGTCCGGTTTCCCAGCCTGGGCCAGAGCGGCGGAAGCGCGCAGTGCTGTTTGCTGTAAGTTGCAGTTCCTTAAGCCACTTCCACTGAAGCCACTCCACGGTCCAAATAATTTATAGAACCATGATTATGTTTATAGAAACAGATAGCTACAAGGTTGAATAAGTCATAGGACAGCCATATATCTCAGCATAGGCGTGGGCCTGGAGGGATGGACATACACTGTTCAGGAAGAGCAATATGCACATTAGTTGTTTTCAAAAATATATATTTTATTGATTTTTTTACAGAGAGGGAGAGGAATAGAGTTAGAAACAATTGATGAGAAACATCCATTAGCTGCCTCCTGCACACCCCCTACTAAGGATGTGACCGCAACCAAGATACATGCCCTTGAATAGGAATCGAACCTGGGACCCTTCAGTCTGCAGGCCGACGCTCTATGCACTGAGCCAGACCAGTTAGGGCATGAACATTAGTTTTAATAATACCTGGTTTAACTACGTAAGTCCTATAATATGTGTAAGCTCCTAGGAAGTAATGGTGGGTAAATGAACTGCAGTTACCTCCAGGTGGGATTAGCGAGGAAGGTGCTTGTTTTAGCATTATGGATTTTCATTAAATCCCTCTTATAACTAGAAACAAGTAGGAAATATTTGTACTTAATTACATAATGTTTCAGTGTGCCCACAACTTTTCATTTTGGGGGGGGTCATTACAGTTCACTGCTGTGGACAGGGTGGGTTGAGGGTTTCCTGTGGCCAGTTCATCTGCCCCACACCCTAGTTGTGTGTGTTAAGCTGCCGCCTGCGGAGAGGAGAGGGCGCCCACAGGAAACCTGGGGGTGACTAGAGTCTGCAATGGACACTCCTCCTCCTGGGAAATGGGGGTCAGAGCAAAGGCCTCCGGCTGCAGTCTCGCCGTTTCGCCCGCTTGGGGCATACAAAGGGTTGAACGAATAGCCGTGCAGCTGCCCTCTCCATGGGCAGCATTCCGCCTGCAGAGTATCCACTCACAGGCAGGGCTCTGTCCTGGGCACCGTGGTGCCAGCGCAGCGCTTCGGGGACAATGCCTGTGGACGCACCATGGGGAAGTGAACTGGATGCAATGCTTTGCTGGGACTTGGCTTCAGTCAGGTCATTCCACAGGCTCAGATGCCCCTGCTGCTTTTCATTCATCTACTGGACTAGCCGTCAAGACCTACTACTGGTCAGCTTATTACTCACCTTCCCCGAGACCTCAAGCAAGTCATGTGAACCTCTGATCCTTATTTGTAAAATGTGGATAAGCCTTGGCTGGCCCTGGGTGACGAGGGGGCTGAGGGGAGTGGGGGACTCTGGAGGCAGGTGCATGGAGTGGCCAGACCCGAGGGTGGGCCCAGGTTGTGCTGCACCTGCTGCCCTGGTGGGGCTGAGGGAACTGGGCGCTGCCATCTTTGTGAGGGTGTGGTGGTCAATTAGCATATTCCCTCATTATTAGATAGGACTAGAGGCTCGATGCATGAAATTCATGCAAGAGTAGATCCTTGCAGCCTCGGCTTTGTCAAGGTCATTCTGTTCAGCTGTTTGATTGATTCGTGTATTATGTATTTGTGTATTATGCTTTTATTATTATAGATTACTTAAAAATAGTAAAATCCTAATGACTAAGCTCGTAGATAAGAAATAAATCAAGGGATTTCTCCATTAACAGTTCAGTGACACTTTCCGTTTAAAAATTCAGCCCTGGCCCGGCTGATGTGGCTGTGGTTGAATGTTGATCTATGAACCAGGAGATCACAATTCAATTCCCAGTTAGAGCACATGCCTGGGTTGCCGGCTCCATCCCCAGTGGGGGGCATGCAGGAGACAGCTGGTCAGTGATTCTCTCTCATCACTGATGTTTCCTTCTCTCCCTGCTTCTCTGAAATCAATAAAAATTACTTTAAAAAAAATCCAGCTCTGACCAGTTTGGCTCAGTGGTTAGAGTGTTGGCCTGCATACCATAGGGTCAAGAGTTTGATTCCCCCATCAGGGGCAGTCAGGAGCAAGTACCTGGGTTGCAGGTTAATCCTTCCCCTTGGGTGTGTGCGGGAGCTAACCAATCTATGTCTCTCTCTCACATGGATGTTTTCCTCTCTCTCTTTCCCCTCCCCTCCCTTCCAATCTCTCTGAAAGATCAATGGAGAAAACATCCTTACTTGCTGGGTGAGGATAAAAAGATAAACTGCCCAGCTGGCATGGCTCAGTGTCCACCTGGAGGTCATGGTTCGATTTCCGGTCAGGGCACATGCCTGCTTTGCGGGCTTGATCCCGAGCGCAGGGCGTGCAGGAGATCAATGATTCCCTCTCATCATTGATATTTCTCTTTCCTTCTCTTCTGAAATCAATAAAAACACATTTTTTTAAAAAAGATAATTAAAATAAAAATCCAACAAGCATCCCTTTTCCCTGCCTATTCTCATCCTACTTTTGGGGCCGAGTTTCTTGCATTTCAGTGCCTAGGGCAGGAGAAGCAAGCAGAAAACTAACTTGTACTAGGTTCACATCAACTTTATTAATTCAAGAATGTCAGTGAAAATTATTTTGAAATGATTCTCATACCTAATTTAGTGAATATTAAGCAACCTAATTTTTAATGTTCATATTAAAATCTTGAGGAAAAATTCAGGCTTTAATATGAATATTCGAACAAAGACGTTGGTAAGTGCCACTATTACAAACAGTTAAAACAAGGTTCTGAAATAGGAATCTCTTTACTGCCATGCATTTTGGAAGCATGAAACATGCCTAGTTGCTAACAGTTGAAGCGAATTATACCAGGGAGTTCACCACCACCAACAAACTTGCTTCACGACCCAAGGGAACAAATAAACTCAACTTAAATACAATTAGAAACCTTCGCCCCTCATCCCTTACCAGAGCGTCTGCCCTGAATAGGAAACTCCATGCACCGGTCGGTTATTAGCGTCCTGTCTTCCTAGACATTCAGACCGAAAACAACCCAATGTCCACACGTGTGAAGTCCGGTGAGAGCGCTAACGGAGACAATCCCTCTCACCTGCCTCTGCCCTAGCCTGTTGTTCCTTATTAATCTTCCTTGTAAGATGGGAGGATGGGCTTATCATCCTGGTGATTTCTCATTTCTCGATTTAAAAAGTATTTTTTTGAACCACCACCACTTCCGGCACAGTAAAAGTGAGCTACTCTTCAAAGAGCCGCAATCAGCCTTGGTCCCAGCAGCGGGGACAAGAGCGGCTCACACCCTCATGGGACTGCCTGCGTCACTCCCACATTCCACACTCATGGCCGGCCGCTCTCTAACTGCCTGCAAAGTACCTGGGCTTGCCCGGGCCTGGCTTCTGGAAATACAACCAGGAGCGAGGCCACTGGGAAACAGTTTTTTGAAACTCTCACCTTTGGTTCAAACTGGGGATAGTGGGTAACTTTAGGAAAATAAATATAATTTTCAATATTTAATGTCAGAAAGTTGTTTTTTAAAACTCAGTAGCCTGAGAACTTGGGAGTGTCGGTATGAGACTTGGGAATGTACAAAGATGAAATCAGTTGGGCAATCAGTTCTGGTCAGCCCAGTGTCACCGACGTGTCACCCATCCCCTACCAGCCCCGTGCGAGATGTGACCTCCCGCGGAGAAAACACGTGCACTCTGACTTTAGAGGTTGTCTCTGGGTTTCTAGTGTTACCAGCCTATAGTTTACACTACCGTGAAGTGAAAGAGGACAAAAACCAAATTTATACTTAAATTAAATAGCATGATTTAATTTACTTGCTGCTGAATCCTGAATCCTCTTAAATTAAAAAAAAAGAAAAAACACAACAAAAGTTAAAATTAACTATTAACGTTAATGAATTTAAACCTTCCAGAAAACATGGATCCAAAAGGAAATGTCCAACAGGTGACCGAGCCACATATTTTATGGCCTTTCCTGTATCGGCCTCGTACTTTCTAAACATCAATGGGGAAAAAAAATCTTTATCGAGTTTTGCAGTTTTATTCTTCCGGTGCACAATGTTCGGCCTGTTACTGAGGACTGTCTTCCAACAGGTACACAATCAGCTCATAGGTGGACAGCACAATGGCCGTGTTGGGGATCTGCCGGATGAGCTGGGCAAAGAGTCCTCGATAGAAGGCGAGGTAGCCTTCTTCCCGGAAGACCAGCCGGGCGGTCTGGACAAAGGACTTGTACTTGGTGCCCTCCTCCCGCAGCCGCGTCCTTATCACTTCTGTGGAGAGAGACACAGCTTTTGTGACGAATAAATTCATTTCCAGGTAATACGAGAAGTCAAAGCACACAGCTTTATAATTATCAACGTATACCTCTGCCCATGTGCCACCTAAAATGATAAACTACGCTAAGACCTCAATACATGCCCTGGCGGGGTAGCTCAGTTGGTTAGAGTGTCGTCATACTACGGGCTTGATCCTCGTCTGGGCACATACAGGAAGCAACCAATGAATCATAAATAAGTGAAACAAACTGATGTTTATTTCTTTCTCTCTCGTTCCTCCCTTCCCCCACTCTCAAAAAAAAAAGCAAAAAAAAAAAAAGCTCAGTGAGTGGGACTTGGTTTTAAGATAGTTTATGGTGCCGAGACCGGTTTGGCTCAATGGATAAGAGCGTCAGCTTGGGGACTGAAAGGGTCCTGGGTTCGATTCTGGTCAAGGGCATGTACCTTGGTTGCGGGCATATCCCCAGAGGGGATGTGCAGGAGGCAGCTGATAACTCTCTCTCATCGATGTTTCTAACTCTCTGTCTCTCTCCCTTCCTCTCTGTACAAAATCAATAAAATATATATTTTTTAAAAAAGATAGTTTATGGTTTTGTACTCCAATTAAGTAAATGCTGTAACTTCACCAAAAGCGGCCTTTGCATTAAGCATGGTAGTATCTTCTACAAGACTTTCTTTTCATGTACTCCCCAACTTTCTCCTCCCAGAATCCTCCTCCGCTCTGTCCAGCTTAAACACTGCCTCCTCCTTTTCCAAAGCTTGGTCTCCCTGGCCCGGTCTCACCGAGGTGCCCACAACATGACATTGCCTGTCACTGCCTGCTGAGCAGACCTCTGCCACCCTGTCTCTCTACCAGGGAGCCGTCCGCCTCTCTTCATGAGCCCCGAGGCCACGCAGTGTCAGGCTCACACTGGGACTCCATCACCTGTTACTGAGTTCACCATGGCCACAGCTGACAGCACAGCAGGCTTTTGAAAACAAGGCTTTTCTTTCTTTCTTCTTCTTCTTCTTCTTCTTTTTTTTTTTTTTAATGTGCCTCAGGCATGAAACCAAGACAGGCATCAAGCTAGGATGAAATAAGACTGTGTATCCGCTTTGCCGCGATGGATATAGGAACAGCACCACTAATCAGGTGTCTCCTTGCCCATTGCTAGGGGGTAAGGCTTGTTTTTCATGGCACAATAAACAAAGCTATTATTTTAATAGTAGCTCAGGAGGACAGGAGGCCTATCATTCTTTTTAAAAATAAGCTTAAAAGCCTAGCTGATTTGGTCAATGGATATAGCATCTGCCTGTGGACTGAAGGGTTCCCGGTTCAATTCCTGTCAAAGGCACATGCCTGGATTGCAGGCTCAGTTCCTAGTATGAGGCAGCCAATCAATGATTCTCTCTCATCATTGATGTTTCTATCTTTCCCCTTCTCTTTCTCCCTCTCTGAAATCAATAAAATATATTTTATTTTTTCCAATAAAATATATTTTAAATAAATAAACTTAAAAAAGTAAACTTTAAGTGGAAAATAAAATTCGAAGTGGAAGCTGAGAGATGTTAAGTTTGGCTCCTATGCCAATTTTTTTTTTTTTTTTAAGTTAAAGAATTTTAAGTAAAATCCAGATTTTCGGCTTCTTGAAAACATCAGAAGTTCTACAACACAGGCCCACGTTCTGCACAGCAAGTTTTGGGAACTGGGGTTGAGTTCCTGAAAAAAACAACAACAACAACAACAACAAAAACCACACACACACACACACACACACACACACACACGAGCGTGGGGGGCAGTCACCACCGGCAGACAGTGGGCTCCAGGGTCCGGGTACACTGACGAAGAGGGGCACATACCGTGTGGATAGGCGATACAAGAGGCACATCCCTTAGACACAGCAGCAGCTGCCATAAGTCCAAAAAAGCTTGCGGAATTCTTCTCAGTCCCGTTTGCAGAGGGGGTGAACGGAGCGTCCTTCAGGTACTTCTTCAGGCTTTCATAAATAGCGAAGCAGATGACAGTTTCTGAGATCCCCGCGTACGAGGCGGTTAATCCCCGGTAGAAGCCTCGAATGCCTTCCGTCTGGTAGACGTGGCGCGCACACTGGAGCGTGTTCATCTGCTTACAGCCGCGCACCCTGGACAGAGCCGAGGACAGGCCATCAGAACGCGTTGGCTGGCATGTGACGATGCCAATGTGTGTTAAGAAGACACTGAAGGAGAACCCGCCGGCAGTGGGCAGGGAGGAGAGCGTAAGGGTGCTCTCCCATCACTCTTCTCCAAACGGGGCACTAACTCCATTACTTCTAAATGCCCAAACCACAACCATCCAACAGCCCACACAAAGACAGGCCGGGCGTCCTCCGTGGTGGATACAAGCCGAGTCCAGGACCCGAGTGCGCACTGGTCAGACAGAGACCGCCCGGCTCCCATCACTCTCCATGGACACCCCCCTCCCCCCCGTAACTCCCCAGGCTGTTCTCAACCTGAGCGAGGTGGTCTTCCTAACACAAATCCAACCGGCCGTGCCCTGCTTGCCCCTCTGCAGGCAGGGCTTCTCAGCCTGGGACCACTGACATCCGGGCCAGATCCTTCTGTTGTGGGGCTGACCTCGGCCCTGGAGGACCTGGCCTCTACCCACCATGTGTCTCAGCACCCCTCACCCCGAGCTTGACAACTAAAAAGGTCTCTAGGCGCCACCAAATGTCCCCTGGGGCAAATGCTCTAGACTCCTTCCCAGGGGCTAAGGCTGTGGCCGACTGCTTCCCAGGCTTCTCTTTCCATGTCGCCGCCTGCTCCTGCACATTCGCATGGGGCACTCTGACCACGCTTCTCTTCTCCCCTTCCCCAGAGCGCACGGAGTTCCTGCCTCCGCTGTGCCCGGACACGGCTCTCTGCCCTCTGACTCGAGCACTCATCACCGCTGAGGGACTAGCACCCCGCACCCTGGGATTGGGAGCGATTCCCGAAGGTTCCCGGGAGAGGAGCTGGTGAGAAGCTGGAAGGCAAGCCGGAGGGAGCAATGACTCCTGGTGAGGGATGGTCCACTCAGGGCTGGACATCCAACAGCACGTTTTTTAGGAAATTGCAAAGGGCCTTGAGTGATAAGCCAAGAGTTAGGGTTTAACCCTGAGCGTAATCGAGATTCATCAAAGGATTCTAAGCAAATGATATGTTCACAATTATTAGAACTGCTGCCTTTTAGGTTCTTCCAGGCAGAATGTGACAGGGAAATACGGGGTCAAAGGCCAATACAGAGGCTACTGAGGTCACTGAGAGGAAGAATAAGCCACACCCCTACCAGCACGTGCAGGGCTCCTGCTCTCTCCGCTGTCCTTTCTAGGTAGCTTACTGATTGGCTGGAAGTTTCCAGTGCCCACACAGTCACACAGGGTTCTAGAGAGAATCCTGTCACAAACCTCACTGAGCATCACTCTGCCTCTGAAATTACAGTAGTTACTGGGCCACACCTGATTTAATATATTAAGTAGGTATGTTACTGTATCGTAACTTTAAAAACAACAGTAACTGTATTTCAGCAACTGGTTTCCATTGCTTCAACTATTCTAAAAGGGCTGCAGACCTCACCGGCCCACCAAAGGAACCTGAGGCTGCAGACCTCACCGGCCCACCAAAGGAACCTGAGGCTGCAGACCTCACTGGCCCACCAAAGGAACCTGAGGCTGCAGTGGGTTTCAGGCGGAAACCAGAGTACGAGGGCCTCGGAGAGAAAATGGCCCTTCCAGGCCTGGAGCATTCGCTGCTCTCCCTCACTGTAAGGCATTGTCCCGTCTGGAAGAGAAGCATCTGGGGAGAGTCGCTAGCGCTGCAACTGGGGTGGGGCCCACCAAGTGCAGGGACCCCCGACGGTCTGCGGAGGTCAGCACTGCCCACCAGGGTCACAGCTGAGCGAACCTGCGGCCACCTCTGGTGGTCTTTGTCCCACAATATAGACAGCACGACTGATTCTCCAAGCAAAAGGAGCTGCTGTCTGCTCACATTCAGAAAGAACAAGACTGTGTGCTGCACTCCACAGGGAGTGGGGGGGGGGGGGGGGGGAATATCCCCAAGAATTCTTATGTTAAGGAAGTAACAATTAATAACTTACTTCCGTTCTAGCTGCATCCGGGTTTTAACCATCCATATAGGATTCATTAGGGAATTTGTGATAAAAGCTGGAAGAAAAAACACCAGAAAATGTCATCACTGAACACAGCCAATGCTGACTGAAGCTGTCTAGTCCATCTGGTAAGTGCTAACCCAGGCTCTCTATGGCTTAGTAATAAAAACGGACAGCAGGAAGCAGCTCCTTTCTGTACCGCACAGGCCACTCCAGTCCCTAAAGTGTAGCTCCTACTGGTGGGTTGTTGGACCTAAATCTGACTAGGTTTCCAGCCTCTAGGTGGTGCTGTTGGTATTTCTGTCAATGTGCTGCCCATGGGAAACATGAAACCACTCTACAACTCAATTTATAAGCATCAGATCCAGAAATAATTTGTTTTTAAGGGAAGTTGCTGTCTTAATCCAAAAGGCTGCCTTATATCAAACTTAAAATAAAAGGTACTAAATCTCCATTTAACTGAATTCAAAGACAGACATTTTAATAGCCACAATGTTTCAGGAAATGGAAGTTTTAATAGTGATCTGCTTGCAAGAACCATTTGTTGGTGAGTCTCCCGTCTCAACTCTGCTAATCATTCCGTGGCAACAGAGCAAAGCAGAGTCAGGCCTCAGCCTGACTCAGGGACCCTCCTTGCCCTCCCCGGTCTCGGGCGCAGCCGTCAGAGAGAGACCAGGGCGAGCCGGAGAGGCTGCGGCAGGTTGCCTTAGGTACTGAGGGCTCTTCCAAGCCAACGCTGCCCAAGGCAAGCCTGGCAACCAGTGTCTGATTGCAGCTCACCCCTATCAGTCTCAAAGCGAAGGCTCCTCGGAGCTCACACTCGGCCTTTCCTGTTTAACATTAGCTCCTACTGGGGTCCAGAGCATCATCTGTGGCTACTCTGGGGTTACTGGTGCTTTATTTGATGTAAAGAGGTATATACACTTACAGACTGGCAGAGGCGGAAATTCTTTATAAAATGCCAATTTAAGTTCTCTAAAATACCTTTCTAGCTAAACAGACATAAACATAATCTGTAAGGCATGACCTTCTCTCAGCAATCTGTGAGTCCATGCTCCTTTTGCCAGGCATGTCTGGGGGAAATCTGCTATAAGTTTTCTACAGTGAGCAAGATGACTCTCCCATGAGGGACGCTCTCTGGCCTGCTCTGGTCCCACTAAAAGCCCCCCAGCCCAGACCCCAGTAGCCAGTGATTAGGACAAAGTGCCAGCTGTGCACAGGCGTCATGAGAAAAGGAGCTTGAACTTTAGAAAACAATGTCATAGAGTAGACATGAAAAACACTGCACTCAACTAGCATGCATGGACATGGACATGTTGAGGCAGAATGAACAGCTTCAGTGGCCAGAGAGAGGAATAGGTAACAAACTGATCTTAAACCCATTATCGTATCAGCTCTGCCATAAAGCGTTAGGAAAGTGATTTCCTATGGAGAAGAGGCAGAGAGCTAATTTCTAATCCTAGAAAAGGCTGTGGGCCCAGCACATGCTTTCTCCACCCACACAGAACGTACCTGCAGAGCCAGCTGAGAAAATGTGCACAATATTGCTGTTAGGCACGAAAATGCCATTGAACTGCTCTTTGGCTTTGGAGTAGCATGCAAAGTACACAGCCCTGTTAGGACAAAGGGAGAACGAGGTGAAGACATGGGTACGGCCTTGCCAAGACGGTGTCCCTCCACAACCGCTAAAGCTTCAGGTAAGTAAGATGGGCAAGGAGTTAACATGGAACAAAAGCTCGGCCTCATCTGTGTCAACCCAAACCTGCTGCCCACTCCTTCCAGAAGGTTCTGCTCACCCCTCAGAAAGTACTCAGTAGAGGGAAGAGTCCAAAATAACGGAGGAAAATGAGATTTTGGTAACATACAAAGCCCATTTATATTTTTAATTCTGGATAAATGCCGATCCTGAGCACCAACATATACTGTAACCTTTAAAATGTGTAGTATTTCTGAAATATCCACACTTGTCCTGCCTCACACAAAATGAGCGTGTGACTGGGGGATGGGGCGATGCTGCTGATCACAAACACCCGAGAAATTCAGGGCTGAGAGCAACTCGGTAAAGTAACTGGAATCTCCTCCTCACCATGCACTGAAGACACTCTTACAGTCCCACTCTCCCATTTGTCAGGTGTGTGTAGGCAAATCCTGCACAGGAGAGGCTGGCCACCTAGCAGTACGGCCCTTCCGAGGGAAAGGACTCGGAATATTACATCCGCATGAGAGGAACCAGGTGAAAGTTCAAAGCTTACCTTGACGGTGCAACTCCAACCAAATTTGGACCCAAGCCTCTGAAAAGTGACTTTGGTCCCTCCTTCTCCAAGATTGACCTGGATAATACAAAGAAGACCCATCTTTAAAATCCTTAGGCAAGATCTATGCAAAGCAAGCGTCAGCCTTCCGCTAGCGCCTTGAATAAAGAATAATACGTAAGTTGTTGCCAAGCATCAGCCTTCCACTAGTGCCTTAAATAAGTAATAAGTTGTTGCATAGCCATTGAGTGTTGGTTGTTGACCTATGAACCAAGAGGTCATAGTTCCATTCCCAGTCAGGGCACATGCCCGAGTTGCAGGCTTGATCCCCAGTGGGAGGTGTGCAGGAGGCAGCCGATCAATGATTCTCTCTTATCATTGATGTTTCTATTTCTCTCCTCCCTTCCTCTCTAAAATCAATAGGAATATTAAAAAATAAAAAGATTACTAGATTGTTAACCAGACCCCAGGTTTTATCTGATTATATTACAACACAGAATGGGAAGGCTGAAGAACACGGCTGAGATAGCGAAGAAAACCCGCAATTCGTAAGCATCAGCCTGACATGTTTGTAAGAAGCTCTTTCCCTGTTCACGCAGGAGGCAAACACATGAAGACTGCTGTGGTTTTAAGATAATATCTTTATTCTAAGGAAATAAATGCTGAAGGATTAAGGGAAAGGGAGCACAATGTGTGGAACTATTTTCAAATGAAAAATATGGATGTATATAGAACAAAATGACAACACAAATGTGGCGATATGTTAAAAGTAAGTTATTGGTACCTGTAACGTTTCTACACATTTGAAGTTATTTCAGAAAAAAAAAAACTTTAATAAAGATAAGTTATAGGCAAACCATAGGTTGTAAAAATATTGAACTCAGGATTATAGCCCAATGTTACGGTAACAAGGGCTGGGACAGGCAATTGCTAGGTTCTATAAATCAAACCCCAAATGAAGGTCATTCACACTAACCAAAAACAAGTCATCTGGCCCTTAGCAGAGGCATGAGAATTTTGGTTTTTCAACTCTAAATACTTGACTTCTATCTTTCTTACAACAGGCCTGATTTAAAAAGCTAAGCTCTCTGAACAGAAGCTTTTCTTAAATAACACCTGCAAGTGACCTATACCTTGGAGCATGTAAGACTGTCAAATGGTCAGTACATACAAATGTTCCCAGTTCAGATCCTAGCCGTGGTTCCCATTAGTGAGCACTGTGCGGCCAGCCCAGGGGTCACTTAAGCACGATTCCCGGACTCTCTGGCTCCGGGAAGCCTGCGCCCCGCATCTATAATGCAGCAGGGAACACCAGTCCTCAAGTGACCAGGCTCCTTCAGAACTGGCAGGCTGTCGCCATAGTGACGCACATTAACAGTGGGCAAGAAGTCAAACCTGTTACATAATTCAAACTTCTAACCTTGCTGGCTGTGTACAAAACTCTCCGGAACAATCAAGTGCCTGCTATAAATGGTACACTCCAGCCTCAAAATAAAGCAGCAGGATCCAGGCCGATTTTCCCACAGTCACAGAAACTGTCATTCAGGCAAGAAATGCAAGGAGAACGGGGCCTTATTTGGAGCATTTCATCTTCACTAGCTGTAGACCATGATCCGAGACAAAGATCGCACCTGCACACTCAGTTATTTTTATAACATAGACTACATCACTAATATATTACTTTTCAGATCAAAAAGGCACCTGAGTAAAAATTGCCTGGGTGATATAAAAGATAGGAGCTCTGAATAATAATAATAATAATAATAATAATAATAATAATAATAATAAAAAGCCTGGCCACATGGCTCAGTGGTTGAGCATCAACCCATGAACCAGGTCAAGGTTCAGTTCCGTTCAGGGCACATGCCCGGGTTGTGGGTTCGATCCCCAGTATGGGGCATGCAGGAGATGCAGGACGTAGCTGATTAGTGATTCTCTCATCATTGGTGTTTTTCTCTCTCTCTCTGTGAAATCAATAAAAAATATATTTTAAAAACACACAGACTAAGTCATAAGACTTTAAAGCAGACACATGAAATGCATTGATATATTATTCCCCTTTGGGGAGTTTAACAGTGGGAGCCTTTTTAGGTAACCATCTTCAACATGTAAAGGTTAATGGTGCTGCAATGGGGAACATGTATTCTCTAGCGGGTTACCCTGGGACACAAACGCTGATTTGCATTTTGAAAAATAAACCTCCTGCAAACAAGTTCGGTTAAGCCTTTTAAAGTAGTACTTTCTGAAAGAGCAAGACTAAGCAGCAGCGACCTAACCATCACCTCTACCCCTGCGAGGAGACGGCTGCAACCAGGCGGTGGCAGAGTGCCAAGCAGTGCCCTTCAGCTGGCAGCCTGCCAGGCTGTGGGGGGACAGACCACAGCTGGGTTTCAGGAGCAGGAAGACGCCATTTCCCCTGGAGCGAGTGTGCATTCTGAGGGAGAGAACTGTGTGATGTAATCGTCCCCTTTTTGCTTTGGCCACCAAGAAACTCAAGTTATAAACCTTGTATTTAAAAAGTACAGGAAGTGGATATTACGAAAGCCGACAATATTTATTTACATGTTGAGCTCTTTTTTTAAAAAAAATATATATATTTTATTGATTTTTTACAGAGAGGAAGGGAGAGTGATAGAGAGCTAGAAACATCAATGAGAGAGAGACATCGATCAGCTACCTCCTGCACACTCCCTACTGGGGATGTGCCTGCAACCAAGGTACATGCCCTTGACCGGAATCGAACCTGGGACCTTTTGGACCGCAGACCAATGCTCTATCCACCGAGCCAAACCGGTTTCAGCACATGTTGAGCTCTTTACATGTGGCATTTTACTGATGTGCCAAAATGCATTCATTCCTTCTATTTGTACTAAATGCTTACTGTGTGACAGGCAGCATTCTAGGACACCTCCGACACCATAACAAATCAAAGTCCCTGCCACAGAGGAACTTCCATTCTGGTGGGAGAGAAAATAAACAATACTAACAAGTAAGCTACAGTCTGCGTTGGATGGAGGTAAGTGCTGGGATAAAAACAAGGCAGGACGGAGGGATGGAGCATGAGGGTGGCTCGGTGTTAAACAGCACAGTCACTGCAAGGCCTTCCTGCTAGGGTGACAACTGGGAGCCTTGCAGATAAGGTCAGACACCAAGGCCCTGAGGCAGAATGTGCCAATGTTTCTGGCCTTTTAAAGGAGCAGCTGAAGGGTGTAGGAGGAGAAACTTCAGGGAGGTAATGGTAGGTGGCAGCTGTGCGGAGGCCGCAGGGACAGAAGACAGGTAGTCCCTGGAGGGATCTGAGCGAGGATCTGGGTTGAGAACAGCCTGAGGCTGGGAGGGGAACAGGCCTCAGGCCAGACCCGTGAGGAGCTCATGTGTAAACAGGAGACCTGGTGGCTTCCATCAGGTGGGGGTGCTGACAAGCAGGGGCAAGGATCAGGTGCTGTGCGTATTTAAAGGCAGAGGGGACAGAACTGGCTGTGGGTGTGAGAATAAGATCCAAGGATGACTGGGCGTTAGGTCCGGAGTGGGAAGCCAGAGTTGCCGCGAGACTCCGGTTGTGGCAGGGTTGGGAGCTCAGTTCTGCACAAGTTCTGCTTTGGTTGCCACCGTACGCCCAGGAGGAGCTGTCAAACAGGCAGCAGGACTGCAGCTGAGAGGCCAGGTCTGAGCCCTGCCTGCGTTGGGGGGGGAGAGAAGAGGGAGGAGGGAAAGGGGATAAAGGGGTTGTCCCAGCATCTCTGAGTGGACCTTGGGCTCTAGAAGCCGAGCCCCCCTAGGGTAATTGGGATTATTTACTGCTTTAAGTCTTTCTTTGAAATACTGAATATACATTAAAAATGGCCTTGAGCCCAGTCGGTGTGGCTCAGTGATTGAGTGTCTTGTTGACTTATGAACCAGGAGGTCAGGGTTCAATTCCTGGTCCTGGTTGTGGGCTCGACCACGTGTAGGGCATGCAGGAGGAAGCCAATTAATGACTCACTCATCATTCATGTTTCTCTCTCTCTCTCCCTTCCTCTTTGAAATCAATAAAAATATATTAAAAAAGAAAAAGGCCTTTGAGTAAGTTGTATAACTCCAATTTATGTTTCCTCATCTATAAAATGGGACGATATCCCACCCGAGTGCTCTTCTCATAGGGTTGGGTGAAAAATCAATAAAATACTATTACATAAAAGTGACAATTTTAAATAGAAAGCTATTAAATATCAGCTGAGACTCTTAATAATATACATAGATCAAGCCGATAAAATAAAGCTTTAATAAAATAGCTTTTGGATTTAAAAAAATGCCACTTTACAAACCCTTTTCTTAACAAACTATCATAACATTACTTATATTTTCATGTGGACACAGATTAAATGGCTTTGAAAGTATTTATGTGTAAGTGGTGTCTCGTTACTGTGTAGCCGTGGCTGTTATAATCAATGGCTGCTGGGAAGTGGTGGCCATGCAGTGGGCTGTGCACTGTTCTTGGACTTCAAAAAACAGGAAGCTTTGAAAATTTGATTTACATTTTAGTAAACAATGGTCCTAGCTGGGGAGAGACAATAAATGGACAGACAGACAGAGATTGACTTGTTGGAGCTAGATAGACACCAGCGAAGTACAACAAGCAAAAACCTGAGCTACAGAAAGCCTCACTTTGACTTACCAACAGGCCTGGCTCGAGGACACCCACAACTTTTGGGTAACAATGTCCCAGGTACAGTAAGCCTACAAACCCGCTAGTCATGAGTTATTGCAAGCACACAAGAGGAAGTTCGTGGAGGATGTTAGTAAAGCTGGCAAATGACCTGTCTTTCCTTTTGCCTAAAGCGCTGTATGTTCTCCAGAAGGTGCCGTGTGAGACTGCCTGCCCACACGTGTAAAAAGACAAACAGAGGGGATGCTTTCAAAACCGTGTCTTCTGCAGGACGTGGGCAGCCCCTCTCCTTCCTGAGGTCAGAGGGCCCTCCCATCAGCGTCCCCATCCCTGCCTCCTGGGCCCTTCCCCACCCTGCTGCACTCCTCCTCGGGGTTTAATCTGAAAAGTGGGTGCTGGGTGTTGGGCTTCTGATTCTTCACTTGGGACTTTGCCCTGAGCAGCTGGTCTGGTGTTCAGTTTTGCTCAATAGGCTTGGGTGCAGCTTATCCACATTTGGCATGGAGGCTGTGTGCCTTGCAAACAGGCTTTACAAACAAACGCACCTAAAAATAAGTCCAGTGCTTCCCAACGCGTCCTCCTTATCTAACACGGGGCTGAGGCCGGCCCAGAGTGCTCCGAGTGGAGGCTGTTCGGACAGAGCATTTCCCCTTTGCTGCATCTTCCCCTAACACTTCCCAGCGACCGACCACACGGATAATGGCAGTGTCTTTCTTGGACTCACCATCTCCTGTGGTAAGCCTCAGATACCAGGTGAAGTGAGATTCAACTACCATTTACTGAACACCTCTTTTTAAAAAACAAAAAACAAAAAAAACCTTTACTGATTTTTACAGAGAGAGGAAGGGAGAAAGATAAACATCAATGTGAGAGTGGAACATCAGTTAGCAGCCTCCTGCACGGCCCCCTTCTGGGGACCAAGCCCGTACCCTACGCATGTGCCCTGACTGGGAATGGTACCAGCAACCTTTTAGTGCACAGGACAATGCCCAACGAAGTGAGCCACACTGGCCAGGGGTGGGCATCTCTCTAAAGCACAGGCCCAAGGTGACATTCAGATGCCATATGATGTCTTGATTTCAGATTCTAAGCATAGATACCAACAAGTCAAATTCAACTTATGAACACTTGCTACTTCATAAGCAAATGAAATATTTTTAATGCAGTAAAAATAATAAATTAGGCAAGTAGCCTAGGTCTGAAACAAAATTAAAAAAAAAATGTTTATATTGATTTCAGTGAGGAAGGGAGAGGGAGAGAGGGAGATAGAAACATCAATGATGAGAATCTTGATCGGCTTCCTCCTGTACACACTCTACTGAGGATGGAGCCCGAAACTCGGGCATGTGCCCTTGACTGGAATCGAACCTGGGACCCTTCAGTCCACAGGCCGACGCTCTATCCACTGAGCCAAACCAACTAGGGTGAAACAAACATTTAAAAAACCATTTTACTAAGTAGATAAGTAGCTATTGAAACTTTTCTATAAGTATGAAAGTATTTCCAAATAAAAAGTAAAAAATTAAAACACTGTTTCCATATTACTTCCCCTTAAAATATTCAAAACCTTTCTCTTATGAAATTTAAGTTTTAATTTCATTGTATCATGCCATAGATTCCTGCTAGCCCTCAGATTTTGAGCAAAAACACTGTGATGCAACAATTTGAACATGACTTTTTAGTTTGCTTTGTTAAGTTTGCTGTAACTGTCCCTGGATGGTGACCGAATGCACACTGGGTGCCCTGCTGCCAAGGGAGCAAGGTCAGAGTTCAAAGGTATTGATTGGTACAGAAACCTAATTCTTAGGTTTGGAATCAGACTGTGCAAACAGGATGTCCATCTGATGGGCTTAGTAAACATTCAGTGTTGACAGTGGGGCAGAGGGGTGGCAGGAGTCCAGGCTGGGGCTGAACTTACTTCAGAACCTGGAGAAGTCCAGGCGTCACTGATGTTGGTCTCACCACTCCAGCGCCATCAATGGCCCCCAGGTGAACCTGAGGGTAATAGACTGTCCGCAGCGCTAACTTCGAAGACTGCAGCCTTGTCTTAATGACTTCGAGTGGACAAGTGAAAATAGCACCAACCGTGCCCCCGCACCTGGAAGAAAAGAAACCACACAGATCAGAAAAGCAGTACCGTTCTCTACACAAGCGAAATGTGAAAGTTATGCTTTCTTTATTTGAAAAAAGAGCCCAACCCGTTGAGTCCGATGGGTTGAGTGTTGACCTATGAACCAGGAGGTCACAATTCCATTACCAGTCAGGGCACATGCCCAGGTTGTGGGCTCGATCCCCAGTGTGGGGCGTGCAGGAGGCAACCGAACAATGACTCTCATCACTGATGTTTCTCTCTCTCTCTCTCTTTCCCTTCCTCTCTGAAATCAATAAAAAAATATATATATTTTTTAAATGTTCATTTGATAATTAGAACATAAGGGAGGTAAAAAAAATTATAGTGAAATCACAGCCACTAACAAGATAACCATTGTTACTATGTCAGTACTTCCTTTAGGGCTTTTCCGTACTGGCTCTTTAATCTCACTTTTCCCCAGTTATCTAGACGTTGTGAAAGTCAATGTATACACTTAGGTCATTAGTGATGGCCGCATACTATTCTCCTATATTGATGTATATAACCAATTTCCTACTGTTAGACATTAATGTCATTTCCAATTTCACTACCCTGTTGCAATGAATATTCTAGAAAATGCATCTTTTCAAACAAAATAGTTCTTCAGGCAATGCTCCTATATGAAAATCACTGCCTATTACAATGGACTTTTAATAAAGTCTAATTAATTTAGACTCCATTGAAAGTTAGGCTAAAGCTTATTTTTAACAACAAAGTCCTTGAGGTCTAAACCAATCAATTCATCTTGTTTTCGTTAGTCAGTCTCTCAGAGTCAGGGTTCTCCTTTGCAATATTTCATACCAAAATATTACCTGTATTAAAATTTTAAGTATTTTTCTTCAAGACAACTCACTTATTCTAAACCTAAAATAAGTCCTTCCCTCTTTTCTTAAGCAATACCCATGACACTGCGCTCTGGAAGGCTGGTGAGAATGGACAAAGTCATGTACCATCGGAAGCCGCCCACACCATCAGCCAGGCAGGGTCTGCCCTCGCACAAGAGAGCTCAGGCCTGTGTCTCATTTGTCTACTTCCCTGGCCTCAGGTCTCCCAAGTTCACAGACAATATCTGCTAAGCAAAAGAGTTATCACGTTGAAGTTTCAAGGAGGGAGGCTCCTAAGGGCCCTCCGTGTTTGAAGACAGACTTCCTGCTCTCACAGGGACTGTCCCAGGAGCGCCTCGCTAGGTTCAGGCAGTACAGGCAGTGCTGGCACACTAGGAATGACACAGCACCAGTGAGGGCGAAGTGGTGACAAGAACCCATCTGTCTGGCTCACAGAACATTGTTAGCATGGCGCCTGAGCCAGGAATGGGGTAAAGTCCCTGTGAAGTATTTTAAAATCAAGAAGAGCCTGTAGCTCCAGGAGCAAGTCAGATCCTGGTAACCAGACTCAGAGCTGGAAGCTGGCGGTTAAATGCTGGCATTTCAACCATGGAGTGAATGACTGCCTCATGGTAAGCATGCAATTCTCCAACAATCCTGCAAGGTAGGAACTGTTTAGCCTCAATTCACCCTAAGGCGTCGAAATGTCAGAAAAGAGAATAAAAGGTAAACTGGGGGTGGGGATAGCCATGTTGGGCTATTTAGGTAAACCCGCTTTAGAATCATGACGATAATGCACTAAAACAAACTGTTTATACACAGTGTTTTCTGAACTGTGAGCCAAAGCCCACCAACCACCAAGCAAGGCAGGGGGCCTGTCAGAACGGGCGGGAGGCCGCAGGACGCTGATGGATGAACCGGCCGGCATTTACCCCTCAGGGCTGGCGGCTCATACAGAGAGGGAACCTGGGCCTCAGTGAGGTCCCAAAGCAGCTCAGCGTCTAATGTGAAACCCAAATCCAGACCCTGTGTCCACAGCCGGTTCGCTTGTCCCTCTGCACTCAGGTTTCCTCCCGGGGAGCACTGTGGGAAGACGGGTGGTGCAGACAGCTCTGCCAGCTATGTGCACTGTTTCACTCTTACTCCAGATGGAAAACTGTTGATTAGATAAGTAGGACTTCAAAACTCTAATGGGTCCTTTTGTATCAAGAAAAATTGTGAGCCCAACGAATGCAGTTCTGTAATAATTGGCTCTAAAGAAAATAAGATATAATGTGGAGTGTTTTAAAAAAAATAACTTCCGCCGAAACAGGTTTGGCTCAGTGGATAGAGCATCGGCATGTGGACTGAAAGGTCCCGGGTTCGATTCTGGTCAAGGGCATGTACCTAGGTTGCTGGCACATCCCCAATGGGGAGTGTACAGGAGGCAGCTGATAGATTCTCTCTCATTGATGTTTCTGACTCTCTATCCCTCTCTCTTCCTCTCTGTAAAAAGTCAATAGAATATATATTTAAAAAATAATAACTTCCTAACCATGTCTATTCACACAAAATAATTACTATTATCTCTACCATAAACTTGTACCTAAAAGATATATTTTAGCCAAAACTGGTTTGGCTCAGTGGATAGAGCATCGGTCTGCAGACTGAAGGGTCCCAGGTTTGATTCTGGTCAAGGGCATGTACATTGGTTGCGGGCACATCCCTGGTAGGGGGTGTGCAGGAGGTAGCTGATCGATGTTTCTCTCTCATCGATATTTCTAGCTCTCTATCCTTCTCCCTTCCTCTCTGTGGAAAATCAATAAAATATATTTTTTAAAAAGGATATACTTTAAAACATTGGGAAATTTACATGCTACAAAGTCAGATAAAGGAATAGCTGAAACCTATTTATGCTCAATCACATGACTCCATGACACCGAAAACAAACAACAACAAAAAAACTCATCACAAAACAGTTTCTGAGGAACTCTTTCATCAGAAAGCCAAGCAGCTCGATTGTGGCACAGGTCACCACCTCCTTTGCCCAGGCCAGCTGCACTCCTTATCTGGCCAGTGTCCTCCAAATCTATGCCGCTGATCAAAGGGTGACCTTTAGGGCAGTGTGCTTCCCCAACTAGGCAATGTCCTACTGTCAGCCAGGCGGTGGACTCTTTGAGGATGGCAAACCACACTCACTCCCAGTCCCTGTGCCCATGGCGGAGGGGTGGTGGTGGTGACAGGCCCCGCCTGGCCTTCCAGACCACTAACCAGGGGACAAAGTAAGGCACTCTAAACAATGTTACTATTCAGAAGTAAGTCCCTTCTGACCTACCAGGAAAAAACTCAGGTGAAAAATGTCCAAAGGATATTCTAAGTCGTTAAAGCTGTGGTACAATAATGCTTTTAGGAGAAGCTGATAGTCAATTGAAATGTCCAAAGAAGTCTTCCTGAAACTTAAACCTTTCAGAGCAGAATTCTGTATCTTTCAGCTCAACTTCTTTTTCTTTCTTTGTGAGCCACACATACAAGACGATCATCTGAACCAACATGCTGACTTCTCAGACCGGCTTTCCAAACTTCCTATCAATATCTCATCATGTTGGCCACAGAGCACTGAAGAGTACAACCAATTACATCCTTTGTAGAAGCGTTCCTGTCAGTTCCCAACTGTCTGGCACAAAGAAGCCCTGCAGTGCCAGCCTGGGCCTAACCTCGGTCCATAGCAGGGATGAAGCCCCACCCCCGGGGCCGCAGACCTCACTGAGAGGACTCTTCAGAGCCCCATGCAGAAAGGGAGGAGGCCGCAGCTCTGGGCAGCCTCCCATCCATCTTCCATCGCTGCTGCTAAGCGGTGCTCCACTGAACCCCCCCTTCCTGCCTAGGAATCACAGGAGGTTCCGGGACTTTCTGTGGGCTGAACACTGGGAACCCTATATCGGTTCCACCAGCAGCCCCTCCCCCAATCACCTTTCAGCCTTACTTGGCCTGGCAACCCTTCACACAGCAGCACCAGGTACCTCTCCTTCCTCCGGTCCTCATGCTCCTTGCCACCAAACCAACAGGGCCCTAGTGTCCTTCCCTGCCGGGCACAAGGCGACAAGACTGGCACTAGGGAGGAAGTCACCGAGTCCTCCCATCCCGGTGGCACGGGCTGATGCAGCAACAGCTTCCCACCTGGGACGCCTCTGCCACACAGCAAGTGACGGCTCCGCCCCCAGCTCCCTCTGCATGGAGCCCAGAGTACTAGGGCAGGAGTGGGGACAGCGAGAGACAGTGACAGGAAAAGCCTCTCCACACCACATGCCACACGTGACAACTCTAACCTTCCTGCTCTGCACACACAATCCGGGGGGACAACTGGTGCAGGCGGGCAGACTGCCCCTCTCCAGGCCTCAGAGCATGCTTCTCTGGGTTCAGCCCAGGGCTGGAAAGCTGATGTTCAGCCCACAGCAAAGTCATACTCAGCATCCACTCCCACAGTGGCACGGTGTGGGCATCAGGAAACAGACCAGTCCTGGTGAGATACCATTACTTTAGACCTCATAGCCAAAGTGGGGGACATCCTTAAGCAGTGCATATTTAAGAGGTCCACAGACATACTGGAAGATACTAGTACAGAGAGTTTCGTTACATAAACCATTATCATTTTCTACCTTTAATTTCTATTTTGTGCATGTTTCTAATATATAAATTTAGTAAGAGTAATAAACATACATGGGAATATGCACAAACATTCTGGCCACAGGGCTGTGTGATCAAAGTCTGAAGATACTATCCTGGACCAGTGGTTCTCACCCGGAACAATGCGCCCCCATCCTGTGACATCAGCAATGTCTGGAGACATTTTTGGATGTGACATTGGGGAAAGCGGTATTAGCATCTAGTGGGTAGTACGGAGGCTGCTAAACACCCTACAATTCACAGGACAGCCTGCCCCACCCCAAGCAAATACTCTTCTGGCTGAGGCTGAGAGAGCAATAAATGGACAAGGTATTTGCAGGCAGTGTAAGGAACGCAGAGGCCACTGCAGCTGTCTCCCAGCATCCATGCCCTCTTCCTGTCTTAAGACGATTGATCCCAGGTGGCTTAAGCCATGCAGTGTGGATGCAACTGAACCATGTCTAGGTTTAGCCCCAACCCAATCAACAACGCTGCTGCCAC